GACCCCTCACTTAGTTTAGGGTTTATATAGTTCCCCTGAGGTAGATAGAATATGGGGTATATGGGGATCTTATTCTAATATACCCAAAGCCATCTGCTATCTACTTAAGGGAGGACTATAGCCCTTTAATGTCAGTCCTATACTCCTAGGTCTTTGGTCCGTGCTGAACTTTTTCCTGTAGAGTTCTCTTTTCACTGGCGTCGATCTTGCTTGTCGTCAGCGTATGCAGTGGCGGCCCCTTCCTCAAAAAAAGGTACTGCTCCATGTCAGCCATACTCTCATTAGAGGGGGGTTATATAGGGGTTCATATGGGGGACTACCATAGGGCTTTTTAACGGAGATACTAGGAGTTTAGACAAGGGCTCATTTAGACGTTTTGCTTTTCTTCTCCATTCGCAATGGGAAAAAGGCAGGATAAGACTTCACCAAAGACCTTCATCGTACCGGTAGAGTAGCCCAGCCTGGCAACTGCCATTCGCACGCAACATGCTTCGATCTTTACGCAGGCCATTGACGTGTCCGAGTGCGACATTGAAGGCCAGTGTTTAGGGTGCGGGGGCTTGCCGTGTAGGGTCCAGGCGTTAGGGGTTGAAGGTTGAGGGTTCAGTTTGAGAGATCCATGGTCAAGCCAGTCGGCCTGTCCCCGTCATTTACGGCTCTAGCCAGGATTTGCTGTAGGATCTAGGACGGCAGCCCAAGAACTTGACTCAAATCCTCAGTCCTGACAAAACTGAACGTCACAGGCCCTAAAGCAATGACCCCAAGGACCCTGAACCCTGCAACCAGCGGTAGCTTTACCTTCAGATTTGGGCAGTTTCTCAGAAAATCACCGCCACGGCTACGGCTCAAGGGGCTGACTGCGCCACCAAAGCCCCTGTAAACCGTAAGCCCTAAACCCAGCCACCGCGAGTACGCAAGAACGTGCCCTAGTCTCATGCCATGAGGCTGCTACTGGTTCCCCAAGTTAGGGCTTCCTTTTTGGGGTCCCAGTAATAAGGATTATAGTAGTTGGTGATCTATATTGGGGTCCGCCTATGTTGGGAAACTACCACTTCTTCTTCTACTTACTTCGCCTTTGTTCTATTGGCCTTGCAGGATTTATGTCATCAGTGCTGCAGCTCATCGATGAGCGGCAGGAATCCCAAAGAATCTCTCCGCTGCTGACGGCTCCCGATCTGTCTTACAGTGGTTGTATAGGGGCTATTGGGGTTGAGGGTTTAGGGTTTGGGGTGGAGGGGTTTGGGGTTAGGGTTATATAGGGGTTATATGGGGAGAACGGAAAAGAACATGGAAACTACTATTATACGGCTTTACAGGTTTGGGACTGAGCCTTGGGACCTAGGGGTTTCAGATTCGTAGGGGGGTTGTCAGGTCGCAGGTGTTCTTTTGGGAATCCGTGTTTGTCCCCGAGAAACGTTGAAAACACAAGGCCAGGGTCCTTCTACTTCTGGCCAAAGCCCAGAGCCCACAACCCAAAACCTCCAGCCCTCAGCCGTAAACCCCAAACCACTTTGAACCCATATGCCCGCAAGTTTGTCTCCGGGTCGATAATGGGGCTACATAGGATGTCTGTTGGAAAGAGTGTTTTGGTTGCGTGTTCCGTTGCTGAGCGTAATCTTCGAAGAGTCATTTTGTTAACATTGGCCATACACTCTGAACTCTAATCGCTCAGCCCTGCACACTCACATGCTTTAAGATGCTTCAAGGACAGCCAGGCATTTTAATTGAGCTTCAGACTTTGAGCATGTAGACCTTAAAGGCGCCAACCCTAAGCTCTAAATCCTAAACCCCAAACCCCAAAACCCCCAAAACCCCAAAACCCCTAAACCCTAACCCTAAACCCCACTGATTGACGAAGAACAGGTTCTGGGGCCTAAGCGTTTTGAGGCGTGTAGGTTTGAGGTTAGAGTCTGACTTTGACAGTTGAGGCTGGAAGTTCCCTGAAAACAGTCTTTGAATTTCTCCCTAGAAGCCCAGGTACCCATATAGTAGGTTCTTGGGTTATATAGGTAGTATAAGTTTATATAGGGGCCCAAGGACAGGAACCCAATATATAGGTAACTGGGCTTCTAGGTTCTGTTATCTAGAATATTAGGGGTTTGGTGTTTAGGGTTGGCTGAAATTAACATTTCCACCAAAACTTCAGGGAACTGAGAGGAGGGTTTGGAGTCTAGGCAGCTTATGCTTCGCAATTGAGGTATTCAACAGATCGCCTCAGAAGACTCCTCATATGTTGCATAGGAGGCTGCCTTGTGTTCCTTCTGCAGGCCTAAAATGCTTTAGGAGGCGCCTAATTTGAGAGCCCCTCAGTGTCCTATAAGGTTGGAATTCTGAGCCCTAATATGGGACCTTAATCTCATGCATCAATTATATACCCTATAGAACCCAAGGAGCCCAAGTAAGGGCCCTTAGGACCCAGGAAACAGGTAAGGGTTGATCTTCGGGGCCCGTCGTCAGGACCTTGGGCCAAACCCTAAACCTGTATGTATTTATATACATATATATATATATGTATATGTCCCTATATATCTCCCCTATATAAGGTTATATAATCCCCATACATCCCCAAACCTGATATATCCATTTTCCCTTAACCCTAACCACTTCTTTATCACGTCTCGAGAGCCAGACAAGGTTGTCCTGCTGGAGCTGGCAGCTTTACTGCCCCTCACCGCAAGAAGGGAATAAGGGAATGTAGAGAGAGAGAGAGAGAGAGAGAGATATATATATGTATAGAGGTATATTGATATATATATATATACATTTCTATATATATATATGTATTTATTTATATATGTATATATTTGCCGTACAACCCTAAGATGGATCAATGTTAGGGATCTTTTAACATATTCTTTGCGGCACGGCAGTCCTTATAATTATGTAATAAGGGCCCTATTTTCTTCCTAGGTGAATGTGCGCTAGGTAAACCATAAACCCTAAACCAAGTAAACCCCAAACCCTAAACCCCAAACCAAGTAAACCAAGTGAACCATCTTCAGTGCCCAGTTTCCCTCTCTCAGAGAGACTGCAGGCCGCGCAGGTCGAGGTGCCTGATGATGTTGCCGGCTGCTTACACACATGGGGCTGGGTTTAGGGATGAGGGTTCTGGGATAAGGGTTTAGGGATAAGGGTTTAGGGATTAGGAATTAGGGTTTAGGGGGTTTAGGGTTTAGGGGTTAGGATTTAGGGATTAAGGGTGTAGGGTTTAGGGATTAGGGTTTAGGGTTCAGGGTTCCCAAAATTTTGGGTACCCTTTTGGGGGGATCCCTATAGTAAGGGCTGAAGTATTTTGGGGTCTATCTTGGCATCCCCTATTTTGGGAAACTACCCGAAATTGTAGCTTGCTGTACGGAGCCACCGTGACCCAAACCCTAACTTACTTGGCAAACAGAGGAACTTCAACCCGTTTGGGCTTCCTTTTTGGGTCTCCATAATAAAGTTTAAGCTTTTTTAGCCCTGGTTATTGGGGAAGAGAGCTAAAACGATCATGTTTGACATGTCCTTGGTTGCACAGCTAAATGGCTTGATGAATGAGGCAGAACGGCCACTCATCAAAGTATTCCCACCAAAGACCCAGCAGCTCGAAGCTAAGAAATCGTAAGGCCCAATCTAATCCTGATCCCCTAATCCGAATCCGCAAACCCCAATCCCCAAACCCTCAACTCTCGACCCTTTGGGGTGTAGTAAACTGCAAGAAGATTCTCATCTCACCTCGCCCGACACGCAAAACAAACCCTCACTAATCTATTTCGTTCCCCTCTATATATGCCCATACATCCTTGTATTATTCCTTCCAAACCTACACCCTTAAAACCTTACTAAACCCTAAACCCCTAAAACACCTAAAACCCTATAACCCTAGAGCCCTAAACCATCGTTTGTGGATGCTTGGCTCTGCTTATCTGCTTAGGCCTTCGTGGACATGAGCGAGTTGGAGCTACCCCCAGGGCACTTCACTGAGCTCAGGGTTTTAGGGTTGAGGGTTTTAGGGTTTTAGGGTTTAGGGTTTGGGATCTTAGGATTATTTAGGTTGTATGTAGGTTGTAGGGTTGGTTGGTTTGAAGGTTTTGGGTTAAGGGTTTGGGGGTTCAGGGCTTTGGGGGTTCAAGGTTTGGGTTTTTTTGGAGTTTCGGGTGGCCCAAGCCCAAGAAATAGTTCGTAGTAGCAAACCTTAAACCCAAAACCCTACCCCCTAGTCATATGAGCTATTGTCTAAACTCCTAGCATCCCCCTATGTAGTAATCCCTTATATAATCCCTATATAACCGCCCTTTTAAGGCTCTAAACCCTAAACCCTAAACCCCCTTTAAGGAGTTTAGAATATAGCTCATCTGACCGCTTTAGTGTCCTGATTTGGGGAGATCTGGTGGCCAAGCTGGGTTGTGGGCTTCCCATCAGCTGCAAAGCATAGAGCCAGGGCTGAGTGGTTTAGGGTCCTTAAAGGGGGTTATATAAGGGATTATACAGGGTTTAGGGTCCTTAAACCTTAAGAAAAGGTTATATAAGGGATTATATAGGGTTTAGGTCCTTAAAGGGGGTTTTATAAGGGATTCTACAGAGTTTAGGGTATAGGGTTCAGGGTTTAGGGAGAACTTGATGTCTGCAAGGTACTCGGTGGCAGAGAGTGCTGCAGAGCAACCAAAGTGAGTTGCGGGACGCACGGAAAACAAAAGTGCTTGGCGACCTCTGCTCCGCAATACCAGGTTTTTGAATTCTCCCCACTACCCAGAAACGAGGTATGCTGCCAGAGGACCCATAGGGTTCGTAAGCCGTAAACCCTAAGCCCTGAAATGCTGCGTCCGCGAAGGGTCGAGTTGTCCTCTGACATTTGTGCGGAACAGCTTGCCTTTTGGCTCTGTGCGGGTTTTAGGGTGCCCACTAGTGTTGTAGCTTTGAGTGAGAGGCTGTGACAGCCATGCCTGCAGCCGTTGAATCTTGGACATTTGAAATGAAGCAGAAGAAGCCAGTAGGGCTGAGCAGGGTTCAGGGCTTAGGGCTCAGGGTTTCATGGCGGTATACTAGGACATCATCTGAGCCTTATAAGCGTTTGTAGCTATTGTGCAAGAAGGGTAACATATTTTTGGCTTAGCTACCAAGAAGCACAGTCCATTCCCCTCATTGACGTCTTTGCACGTCGTCCTGACTCTCAGGAGGATGAGGGTGGTAAGATGACTTGAGAAGGTCATCGAGTAGTTACGCCTGGGGTCACAGCTGTGATGACTCGCCCGGCTACAGTGACAATGTAGTTTAGTGGACTTACAACTTTGCTTGCAACTAACCATAGTCCCACAATCTCCATATATGAATATATATATATACACATATACATGTATATATATATATACATATCTGGATCCCATACAGAACCCCTACTTCACCTACATTACCCTCATAACCCTACTTAGAATGACCCCCCAAACCTTATGTGCGTGCTCCGGGATCCCAGCCTCCCCCACAGCTGGTACCGTCTCAGGTTTAGGGTTTAGGATTTAGGGCTTAGGGTTTGGGGTTTAGGGTCTAAACTCCTTAAAGGGGGTTATATAGGGGGATTATTTAAGGTTTATATGGGGTTATGTAGGGGATAATGGAAAAGAACATGGAAACTACTAATTTAGGCTTGCAGTTTAGGCTTTAGGGTCTAAACTCCGCAAAGGGGGTTATGTTATGTAGGGGATCATATAGGGGATTATTACACGGGTTATTAATGGTGATGCTAGAAGTTTAGAGTACACGTTATCTGGAGGATGAGGCCATATCTGTAAATCGCAAGAGCCAGGGTCTCTTCGTAAAAACCTCTCTACAGACCCCAAACCTTCTAACCTAAACCCTAAACCTTGTATAGACCCTATGCCACAGGACCCAGAGAACAGGTCCCCGATTTCATGGTTGACAGCCTTTATCTCATGGGTTCCCCTACTACCCCCCTCTATACTACCCCGCCCTAGGTTCCCCCTTAATTAACCCCTTAATTAACCTTAGGCCTTAATTCGGCCTAATTATCCCGAAAGAACGTGAATTATGGGGGGAACCTAGGGGGGGTAGTATAGAGGGGGGCAGTAGGGGAACCCATGATTATCTATTATTCTTACAACTTTCCAGAGAACTAAGAATCGATGAGCAAGGTATATAAAATCTTTAGAAACCCCTCTGGAGGTCCTTTAGAAAGCCTTTTTCTAACATTCGTAAGCCTGCTAGAAAACTTTTCAAGCCCTCTATAAACCCCTCCACACACCCAACTTCAACCACCAGGCCCAGACCAAGGGACCCCAGAACCAAAGGGGGGCGGGGGCAATATGCTAGTCATCGTCTACATCTACATACATCATCATTGGTTTAACGTGGCGGAACGCTGACTCATAACATCCATACCTGGGTTGGCCTTTGGGATACTTAAATATTTCCCCTAATGGGTTTCATAAGGACCCTTCATACGAACATTTTCCAAAGGGTTCCAAAGGCCAACCAAGATACATATATCGCTACCTACACCGGCAAAAGCACGTTTTGGCAGCTCTAAGCTTCCAAAGTTAGGACCCGAGAGCTGTCATATGAGTAGTCTTTTATTTGGGGATACTAGGGTACCCAATAATATAGGGTCTAGGGCCCTATAATGGAGAATCAAATGGAAAAGAAAATGGAACATGAAATGGGAACTGGCATTATATAGGGGTTATTTGTGTAGTATTTTATTTGCGGATACTATGGTACCCAATATAGAGTAAGATTCTATCCTCCTTTTGGGGTATAGTATTTTCTATAAGGAATATAATCTTACCAGGTTCAACCACCCAAAAAAACACGACTCATATGATTTCAGCGTCCTGACTATAGGGCTTGTTGTTACCAAAATCCTTCAACTACTGAAGGCCTAAAGCCAATGCCCTAAACCCTGAGCTGTAAGCCTGCCTAGGAGATTCAGTACTGCGGAGGCTGAGGCTATGGCAAGCATTCCAAAGCTGCCATAGCCCTGATTCAAAGCAAGTGCGCTGGCAAGGACAAGGGGTTTAGATTTGAGGGATCAGGCTTCAGAATCAAGTTTTCAGGGCCTAGACTTGAGGTTTTAGTGTGTAGAGTTGAGGGTTTCGTGTTTCGCAGCAAAAACACCATCATATTTATCTATCATAGCAGGGGTGGGGTATTCTGATTCTACGGCAAGGGATGTTTGGAGGGAATCCTTGAGCCCCACTGTCCTGATCTGCAGGAGGTCACCTTCTCAGAGATTAAGGACCCCGGTGTGACCGGAAACTGGGTCAGTCTTGAACAGTTTTCTTTACTTGCTTTCTTATAGTAAGCTCATTGCAAAGTATAAAGAAGACCGCATTGAAACAATATCCCAATGTGTGTCACTATGTAAATTCAATAAGAAACATAGAAACGCATGTTTTTTCAACATGACGATATATTTGCAAAAATGTAGGCCAGCAAGATAGATCCCACATTTATAATCCTTGCTACACGGATTCCCAAACCCTAAGCCCTAAATCCTCAATCCTGAACCCTGAATCCTAAACCCTAAACCCTGAATCTTAAACCCCAACCCCCAAACCCTAAACCCTTAACTCTAAACCCTAAATCCTAAACCCCAAACCCTAAACCCCTAACCCTAAATCCTTAACCCTTAACCCTCAACGCTAAATCCTTAAGTTTTAGAAGCTCCTCAGTTCCAGAAGCTCCCAAGGAAACTTTGAGATCAAGGTCAACGGCGTGTTGGTGCATTCCAAGAAGACGAAGGGTGATACTCTCAATGAGGGTCCAGGGTTTAGGATTTAAGGGGTCTAGGGTTTAGGGATTAGGGTTTAGGGATTAGGGTTTAGCGTTTAGGGCTTAGGATTTGGGGCTTAGGTATCAGAGTTTGGGGCTCAGGGTTTAGGCTATCTGCTCCAGAGTTCAGACTTTGCTTTGTTTTGGGTGCTTCCATGGCACAAATGTAGAAACCTAAATAGTTACACAACTCCTCCCTAGATTTTACCGCAACACCAAATGATTTCCCTGAAGCAGAATGAAACCAAAGCCAAACTTAAACCCCAAACCCTTAGAACAACAAACCCTAAACCCTAAACCCTAAACCTTAAACCCCAAACCCTAAACCTTAAACCCTAAACCCCAAACCCTAAACCCTCAACCCTAAACCCTAAACCTCCAAGCCTGATCATCCCTAAGCTCATATCCCCATCCTGAGCCGTGTTTAGGGTTGAGGCGGTTTAGGGTT